TTTCTCAGTCATTGCATAATGATATGCATAATTTTCATGCTAGATTCCATTGTTTTCTGAACCCTATACTCCATTTAACATCAAGTTCTATTTACGTGACTAACTATACCTTGTGATATACCAGGCCTGTAGTACGGGATTTAGTGGATGATGTTATAACTGTAGAGGATAACGAGATAATAGAAGCCATGAGGCTCTGCTACGCGATTCTGAAGGTTGTAGTGGAGCCCAGTGGAGCCATAGGCCTTGCTGCTGTTTTATCACAAAGATTCAAGAACAATCCTTCTTGGCAGGATTGCAAGCACATAGGCATCGTACTCTCAGGGGGTAATGTTGATTTGGGTGTTCTCTGGGATTCATTCAGAAAATAAAGCTATATGAATTCTAATCATAATGTGAACAATTACTCTTATGCAAATGGTTGCTCTGCTGATATGGTAAAATTAACTTGTGGACAAATTTTATTTTCATATATACAAGTGGTAAACATGTAGAATTTCTACATGGCCATGAGATAGTAAATAGTTAAAAGTGTATGCTTTTGTTGAAAAATTTGGCTAGATGCCTACATCTTGAATCATGTGAAATTACCAAACCCCTTAGCCATTTGAATTGAACATCTGAAATCATGCATGCAAGAAAATGGAGCAATCATGCATTTACTGTTAATGTAGGGTCTGAAAAATGATGGAAAGAATTTTTAAATTTAGAAAAAGTTTTATTTGGAAGAAGATATTTCTGGTAACAGCCAAATAACCATGAAAATGAAGCTATAAGAAACCCATTGCCACTGAAAGTGGGGAAGAATTTAAAAGTTCTTAAAGCGACGTTAATGGGTGCTCATAAAATTTCAGACGAAAACAGGGTGAGTAAAATTACCATCAAACTTTTCTCCAAAATAAAAAAAATAAGCCATTAGAATACATATTTGCACTGAACAAAATGCTAAAGAAGGTTCTGCAGTTCTACTTTGTAGAAAATTTTCCGGTAACGCATTTTTATAGCTGAGGAAGGCAGCAGTAGGAATAAAAAAAAGGGAAAATCTATTCAGTAAGGAACCCTGAAAGACTAGTAGGAACACAGCATCGTCAATCAACCACAAAATCATGGCAGCTACAAGAGCAACTTTTCACACCAAAAATCTCCCAAATATTATATTCCATCAACAAAAAACAGAAAAATAACAAAATCAACAAGTTCAACCAAATTAAGTTTTATATTGATCCGTTATTTCCCATTCTTTCAAGCCTCTTCCTGGTACTCCTCTTCCTCCTCATACTCTTCCTCATCAGCAGTCGCATCTTGGTATTGCTGATACTCAGATACCAAATCATTCATGTTGCTTTCTGCCTCTGTGAATTCCATCTCATCCATGCCCTCTCCTGTGTACCAGTGCAAGAAAGCCTTCCTGCGGAACATAGCCGTAAATTGCTCACTGACCCTTCTGAACATCTCCTGGATTGATGTAGAGTTGCCAATAAATGTGGAAGCCATCTTCAAGCCCGTTGGAGGGATGTCACAAACAGTTGACTTCACATTGTTGGGGATCCATTCAACAAAGTAGGATGAGTTCTTGTTTTGCACATTGATCATTTGCTCATCAACCTCTTTAGTGCTCATCTTGCCACGGAACATCGCTGATGCTGTAAGGTATCGACCATGACGAGGATCAGCAGCACACATCATGTTCTTGGCATCCCACATTTGTTGAGTGAGTTCTGGTACAGTGAGGGCCCTGTATTGCTGGGAACCACGGGATGTAAGGGGTGCAAACCCAACCATAAAAAAGTGAAGTCGCGGGAATGGGATGAGGTTAACAGCAAGCTTGCGAAGATCAGAGTTGAGCTGACCAGGGAATCGAAGGCAGCACGTGACACCGCTCATGGTGGCTGATATCAGGTGGTTCAAGTCTCCAACTGGGTTTGTTAAGACAAATTTGTTAGTTCCCATAAAGAATGTTATTTATCATGTGGATTACCTTCCACCACCGCATTAGAATGAATTACTTACGATCCACAGAACACAAATACAGTGATCCCAATTACTAACTTTGACCCTCAACCAATGTAAATAATTACCGTGATTAATTTAATTTTCGTATGTTCTTAATTTCATGATATGAGAATCTAAAAATAATATGCCTAATTTGCTCAGACAAACCAGAACAATTCAAAATAACAAGAAAAAGAATGACCCAACAAAACTAGTATGAAGGCGTCGTTTCTACTGGTCTTTAAATGAGAAGCTAAATTCCTTACACTACTAACCAAAACATTTACATATCACTTCACTTCAGTTGACATATTTTAGATTCAAATCTAAAATCTTTTCCTGAACTGCCAATATATCAAACAAAGACAAGGAAAAAATGATCCCAAAAATCAAACGATCTTGATATCTGAGAGAAATGATAACTTACAACTGGGAGTGGTGAGCTTAAGAGTGCGGAAACAGATATCATAGAGAGCCTCGTTGTCAAGAACCATGCACTCGTCTGCGTTTTCAACAAGCTGGTGAACAGAGAGAGTCGCATTATAGGGCTCGACAACAGTATCAGAGACCTTAGGAGAGGGGAAGACAGAGAAAGTGAGCATCATTCTATCTGGGTACTCTTCCCTTATTTTTGATATCAGCAACGTACCCATTCCAGACCCAGTACCTCCACCAAGGGAGTGGCATACTTGAAACCCTGTAACCAAGCAATAGATTTTAGAGCAAAGACACAATAAGCATCCAGGAAACTTCACTTACTTAAAAAAGGAATCCCTGTCGTATTATATTCCTGTTTTTGTTCCATTTTCCCGAGAACCAAACAGATCCCAAATGAATCTGGAGAAGGGTGGATTAAAACAAAACTTGAAAACAGATCAGAGGTTCAAAACCGAAAAGTAACATTTATCACTTCGTAAAACGAAATAAAAGCAACTAAGAACAAGATAAGGGATTCCTAAGGAAACATTTTTGCTTCCTTTGCTCATTATTTATCGATCTCTGAAAAACATAAGGAGAAATAAGGATGCACACATAACACAGAAGAGAAATGAAAATACCTTGCAGACAATCACAGTTTTCAGCTTCCTTCCTGACAACATCGAGAACGGAATCAATTAGCTCTGCCCCTTCTGTATAGTGCCCCTTGGCCCAGTTGTTACCCGCACCCGATTGGCCGAACACGAAGTTGTCCGGTCGAAAAATCTGGCCATACGGACCGGATCTGACGCTGTCCATGGTGCCTGGCTCCAGATCCATCAGCACTGCACGAGGCACAAATCTTCCACAGCTCGCTTCGTTGTAGTAGACATTAACTCGTTCCAGTTGGAGATCGGAGTCCCCGTTGTATCTACCCGTGGGATCGATCCCGTGCTCTGCACAAACCACTTCCCAGAACTTAGCCCCAATCTGATTTCCACATTGACCTCCTTGTATATGCAGGATTTCTCTCATTTTGGGGGTTTTCCTTTTCCGGGTTTCTCTTTTTCTCGGAAAATATTTGAGAGATAAAGCTTCAGTAAGTAACTGCTGGTATGTGTTAGATTAGAAATGAGGGTTACCGTCAGTTTTATAGACGGGGAGAAACGGTTCACCGTTAGGTTGTGGATGACAGTAACCGCCGTTATGTTTTAGTGGGAATTCGAATTTTTGAAAATGGGACTGATTAAGTGCTTCATGAAGTAGGGTATACGAATACGTGTCTGTGCTGATTTTGATGTTGAATATAATTTTCTGCCGCTATGGCAGCCGTTACTGGGTCCCACATAACCGTCAGACAACCCATGAAATGTCAACTTTCTCCTCAGAAAAAATTCTTTATATACGGCACTAAAGTCCTATGAGCATAATTTCCTGTAGAAATTTTTTTAAAATATTTATAGTATGCTAGTAGCTAAAATTATTATACTACATTTCAAAATCACATATCTAAATTTTATTAAAATTATAAAATTCTTTATTTTTTAAGTATATTATAAATTAATAATAATTAACTCATAATATTTGTTTAATAAAATTAATAATTTAATTAATTAATATGTTGATATAATTATAATAACCAAGTTTAACTCTATATTTTTAATATTTAAAGTTTAGTTAAGCTTTTGTTATATTTGGAACATGTAATATTCGAAATTAATTTGTAATATTCAAAATTTATGTATAAAATTTAATTTTTAATTTTATAAATTATTATTTAATATAAAATTATGAAAAAATAGGTGGAAAATGAAATTGAAAATAATTTTAAGAAAAATGAGTGAAAATTGGTTCAGAAGATGTTTTTGAAAGAAAAATTAAAAATTGAAGGTCAAAACGTAATTTTAAAAAATATATCGTGTAGGAGGCCCAGTTAGCAGTCTCGACGAACCAGATCGTGCTGCGTGGCAAGGCACGTTGACACAGTTCCACGCAGGATGCCACGCTGGCGATCTGCGTACCCGCGATCGGATGGTCCAGATTTATCCCAGCACGCGTGAATAGTCCAGATCCGTTCCCTCCTCAGACGTGATCAGACGATCGCGATTAAACGTGATGAACGCTCTAAATCTACTTTTTATTTAAATGCGATCGGACAGTCTAGATCAAATTGCGATTAACGGTCCAGACTCACTTCCTATTTAAACGCGACTAGACGGTCCATATCAAACAAGATGGACGGTGCAGATTAAAAGGAGACTGATATAAATACCCACTTTCACATCAAACTCTAACCCTAGCCGCCAAACCCCCTCCACCGGAAAAGAAGAGCCAGTCACTAAGAAGGGAGCCGACCGCTGCATGCCACCGTGCTAGAACTACCTCCGACTGCTAAAAGAGGTAAAATTTAATCCATTCGCTCGAAATTCAATTTTGAACACCCCCATGGCCAAATCGAAGTAAAAGGACCGAGGGATGGGTCGGACACTGCGGAAAAAATTCGGCGGTGATGCCGCAGAGAAAATAAAAAATCATCTCCGATGAGGCCATCCCCGATTCTCGTTTCGTGTAATTTTTCTACCATTATAATAATTATTTCTTTTTCTACAGATTGACCAAAGTAAAACACACAACCGCGAAGGTGAGCCAGTAGAGCCGCCGCACAGAAAAATTTCGCTGTCGGTAAGCTTCAGTTTTTTAATTTTTTTTATCCAACCGAGGCCCCCTAACGTGTTTTCTCGTAGGGATTGGTATAAAATTGGCCAAAATTAGTCAAAACTAGTTGAAAACAACCAACCCAAAACAAACCGCTGCTGCGGACGGCAATATCGTCGCCAGAGCATGGCAGAGCCGCAATGCTGGAATTCTAAAATTGGCCAAAAGGGGTTTCTAATACTTATTTTGGGTTTTTAAAGGTATTTTCTAGGTACTTGAAGTGTGTTTTAATCCCCGAAGAAAAATTTAGGGAACCCGGGTACCGCCAATAGGTGTAGTTGAAAGTTTAGCATTTTAAACATAAATTTGAGTAAGAATCCTTCACTCTATTCCTTGTTATGGAATTGAAGTTTAATTATAAATAATGTGGTATTTTGTACAAATTAGAAAATATCCATAATTAATTACAGGTTACTAATGGAGCTATAACTAGTTATTTATTACTATTTGTTATGTTTAACTGATTGATTGATTTTACAGTTTGAATGCATGATAATACATTTGAATTGGTATGATAACTCAATTGTGTTTCATTGATGCATGTATTGCTTGTTTTACGTTATTTACAGTTAAAATAAAAAAACTGGAAATTAAAAATAAACAGGAGATTGTTTGATTAAGTGAAAGGATGAATGGTAGTTTTACTAGATATCTTAAGAGATGATGGACGGACCGGGTACATATGAAACCCTACCATAAACGTTGCCTCATACCGAACGGAGTATCGAGGATTGGTAATTTGGTGCTCATACTGGACGGTGTATGGGAACGACTCGTTTCACCCTCATATCGGATAGTATTGAGAGATAATATTTTTTTGCACTCATACCAGACGGAGTATGGGGACGGCCCGTTAGTTGAAAATATTAAAAAATGGTTCACACGTAGTGGGAACATCCCTATGGACCCCCATGGATACTAGTACACTGATAAATGAGAAAGTTATTGTTCGAACTGATTAAATATGAAATTATGATATTGTTTATGTTATTGACTCTATAGGTCAGTTTTAAAAATCTCGCTACGGTAAGCATGTGGTAAATAATTTTATTTATGATAAACAAATTTTATTTAAATTAAGAGCTCTATTAGTTGTTTTTATGATTTCTACCAACTTTCATTTATATGTCAGTGAGTAGCGTGATATTCTTACTGGGATAGTGTAGTTCACTCTTTCATCAACCATTTTAGATCAAGAGTACTAACATCCATATCCTGATCCACAAAAGGATTGTTAGTAGGACATTCAGTTTGTTTACTTTTTATTTATTTATTTGATTATTAGTTGTTCTTTTAGAATGGTCATTTTCGTAACCCTATTTCTTGAATTATTGTGTAAGGAGTATAAATCCTAACGCAATTATTTTGTTTATGCACTTGATTTATAATTTACTTCCTTTCAAGTTCTGCACTGTTATAGTTGGTATCAGAGCCGCATTCTTCGGAACCATTTTTTACATAAAATCCTTAGGAAACTCCAAAAACTATGAATTATCACTCAACTATTCCTTGTGAAATGCAGATATAGATAGATGAGGAGAGGAAGACCCTCACTCAAGAGTACTAACATCGAAGGTTCGCTTCGAGAGGATGTTGACTGGTTATTTGAAATGCTGGAGAGACTCATCGTTGCCCAACAGGCCCAGGAGGAAATGAGGGAGCTACTTAACCCTCCATCGCCGCCACAGGTTGAGCCACCCCTGCAACGAGAGGATTCTGAACCACTCCGGTATGACTATGCTCCTCCATAGTAACTTCCAGCACCACCACAGTATGATCCGGTGCCCCAACCATAATACCACCCGACACCACCATAGTATAACCCGGTGCCCCAACTGCATCACCCGGCACCACCACAGAACAATCCGGTGCCTTCATCGTATCATCGAGTATCACCACAGGGCCATCTAGTCCATCATCAGCACAATTCAGTCCTTCTTCCACGAGACCCAATTTCTCCCATGATGGACCCAGACTACATTGAGAGGTATAAAAGACTAAATCCATCTACTTTTGCATGAGTATCCTCCTTTGAAGAGGCTGAATATTGGTTGGCTGAGATAGAGAAAACCTACATAACTCTTCGGGTGATTCCTGAACAGAGAGTCATACTTGTCACCTACATGCTGGTGGGAGAGATAGGTCGCTGGGGCCAACTCAAGTAGGCCACTCTACCCATTCCAGTCACTTGGGAACAATTCTTGACGGCCTTTAATACAGAGTACCTTCCAGAGCATCTCCGACATCTGAAGGAAATAGAGTTTGCACACCTAGTTCAGAGTAACATGATTGTATCAAAATATACTCGAAATTTCCTATAGTTGGATCGGTATTCCTCTAATAGCATGATGGATGAAGGTAGGAAGGTAAAAAAGTTCCAGTGGGGTCTCTGTCCTGAAATCAGACAACAATTGTATGTGTTCGAGCTCAGAACTTACTCGACTGTTCTGGCCAAAACACAGCTAGTGGAGAGAAACCTTCACATTTTTCCTTAAGCAATAGGGAACCTCAGGCCCTCGGCTTCACACTGTAGACCAGCAGCTACTGCACCGATTCAACAAAACAAGAGACCTAGGCCGATGACTAAGGCTCCCCCTCAGATTCCAACAACAGGACGCTGTAGGACTTGCTAGCACTATGGCAAGGATCATGGGGACCAATCTTGCTGTCATCTCAACAATACTTGCTGCATATGTGGGAGTGCCCAACATTATGCGAGGGAGTGCTCAAGGAACCAGAACCAGAACCAGGTCAGACCCCTTATCTAGGGTAGCACTTACAACCTCACTTAGTAAGATGCAAAAGCTAACCCAGATATGTTATAGGGTATGTACACTATCTGTAATCATCTTGCACATGTTTTGATTGATACTGGTACCTCATATTCATTTGTTTTACATGTTTTTGCATCAAACTTAAATGTATTACCTGAAAGACTTGATTTTGTGTTGTTTGTGTCTACTCTTGGGAGTAAGACACTACTAGGGGAGGTTATATACAAAGTATGTGTCATAAATATAACATATAAAAATTTGAGTGTGGACCTTATAGAGATTGACACGGGGGACTTTGATATAATCTTAGGAATAAACTGGTTAGCGGCGTATCACGCCACCATAAATTATTTTCATAAGAGGTTTGTATTCAATCCTCCTAATGAGGAGTCATTTACAAATTAATAAAATTATTTAACATTTATTCTCTCATGGCAAATTTTCCTATTATCAAGTGCTTTAACTCGCCTATTTTCTCTAACTAGATAAACCCAAGAAAGAAATTTGTATTCAAGAGATTTTGGTAGTCCGAAACTGTCAGAATATATTCCTGGATGAACTACCTTGACTACTAATGGACAGAGAAATTGAATTCGCCATAGACCTTCAGCCAAACACCCAGCCTATTTCGATTGCCCCTT